GGGTTGCCGAGAGAGTTCTTTATTTTCTACTTGGCTGGTTCTTACAGGGCTTCTAGTTGTGGTTGTGTGTGTGGTTTCTAGGATGTACACAGAACAAACAGAGTGAAAACCCACACTACTGTAACCTTCATACAACAAAATGGTAGGCTAATGACCGATAGCAAGTTAACAGCGTCCTACATTAACACACTGCTTATTACTTAGCTCAAAGTAACTGCAATTCACAAATAATCATATTAATATCAAACTGAAGTCCACTTACAGGACATATGGACGCACACATCCCTCTTAAACTTAAAAACTAGAACCTGGAACACCAAAAAACCGACTGACAACTCTCAAAAACACCTGTAGTCTTCTCTCCCGTTCTGCTGCTGGCAAACTGGCTTGAACTGGCTCCTGTAGCCAGTCAGAACAGCGCCAGTGCACCACCTAGTGGCCAAGATGAGTATCTCCCTTCTCAGCTACCAGGCAAAAGGCAGCCTTTTCAACAATATCCTTGAACTTAAAAATCAGAGTACACCCCAACACCCACACACCCACCCGACGGCCTTTCTGGGATGCAAACAGGTTAATCACCAAATCAATAAACAATATAACACTGTATTTACCAACAGCATCCATTTAGGAATTGTCTAGTGCTGCAGACAGGGAATTACAATCAGTTGCAATATGGGCATGGACTAATAAGTTAGTTCTTCATCTATCAAAAACACAAAGTATAGTGTTTGATCAACGTTCAGACTTACAACATAGTTAAACCTGTCGGTACAGAGAGTGCCTGTGGAACAGGTAGTGGAAACCAAACTCCTTGGGGGGTGAGTGACATTAGACAGTAGATTGAAGTGGTCAAAACAGATAGAAGTTATGGGGAAAAGTCTGGCAGTTATACAGAGATATGCTAAATTCTTACCACAAGAATGTATCTCCCACATTGTTCAAACATTTGTTCTTGCCCTTTGAACTTGCCCCGAACTGTAATAGAAGAGTTAACATTATCAGAATGCATACAACCTTAAGTTAGCGATTGGTGAAGGACAAAATGGTTACTTCTCTGCTCAGTTTTATTAAAAAATATGTAATTGTCTGAAACCCTGAATATGCTTTACCATCATTTTTTTATTGTAGTAATGACTATAATATTAATACTGGGCATGCATCAAGACGTTGTTTTTCACTTCCTGTTTCAAAAACAAATGCAAGGCAACGTACTGTAATGTTCAGAGGAATGAAATTATGTTATTGTTTGCCATGGGACATTACACAACAAGTGTGGCTGTTTTTAAGAGATTAAAGAAATTCCTGGTGGCACAGAACACCAGCCCATCTCAAACAGAGTTACAACTAACAGAGTTAGTTTGTTACATAATATCTGACTGCATAAACCTTAATGTGAAACTTTCCTCATTTTTTTTATTCTCTCATCCACTGTATGATGTTTTTAGTAGTTCTACTATTGCCTTTGAGCTGTAAAATTAGTATTGTTTTTTCCTGACAATTTAGATATTGTGAGGATACTTAATGTCACTATTGTAATTATTGTCGTATGTAGTTTTATTTTGGTTAATCTATTGGTTTGTTTGTTTTTAATTATTGTGTTGTAGTTCTCCTGTTTTCTTGTTGTATTTTGTTCCTTTTTGCCTTGGATTTTTAATCATACATTTGTTTTACTCTATGATGTAATATTTGCTTGTGTGGATCTCAAAGAGTAGTTGCTGCCTTTGAAGTGGATAATGGGAATCCAAATGAATAAAAAAATAAAGTATATTTTGGTTCTTCCATTAAGCTGAGCGGTTTATAGGTTAGAGTCTCTGCTGGGTCCACTTGATATCTTTTTAATCTGGAAACAAAGTTTTAATTGGACCCGTTGGAACATTTTATCATCCTGTTACATGAATTGCAAAGTATTTCACAGATTAATAGTCAGATAACATGAATGATAAATATGGGGCGCCGGTGGCTTAGTGGTAGAGCAGGCGCCCCATGTACAAGGCTGTTGCCGCAGCGGCCTGGGTTTGACTCCAGCCTGTGGCCCTTTGCTGCATGTCACTCCCCCTCTCTCTCCCCCCTTCACGCTCATCTGTCCTATCGATTAAAGGCTTAAAAATGCCCAAAAATCTTTTTTTTTTTTTTTTTTTTTTTTAAATGGATAAATATGGTTTTAGATGGAAAGAAATGTCATTTCAGAGTGGAAAATGTGGCTCTGTTGCTTCAACATTCAAGAAAGGAAAGTATTTCTTTGAAATGTGCAAAATTAAGAAAGGGGGAAGTATGTCATAAGACAGATTCAGAGGGAGGTCATGTGATACACTACAAATAGTTTGAGTTAGGTGGAAATTATTAAGTATTTGTTGAGAAAAATGGAAAATGTAAATCTTCACCACAACAGAAAATTCCTTCTTAAACGTTATTACACAATCTGTGAAATTAGGAATTCTTGGTTGGTTACAGGACTGTTCTTGGCAAATAAACTCAAATTATTTCCAAGATCTCATTCTGAATAACATGGTGGGTTTGAGCTGAAGTAGCTGTTATGTGCTGCAGTTATCTTTCTTGCTGTAATGGACATGACAGTAAGTGACAAAGAATCAAAATCAAAACTTTGACCACAAACAGCTGCTCTCTCAGTAAGGATGCTGTCGCTGAAAGCAACTTCAGAGAACAATCTCCAACTCTTATTTTGTTGTTTGTTTGTTAGACAGGTTCATCGTGGCCCAACACCAGCTTCATGTAGGAGTATAGCCTATGCAGTAGCTGCTCGTGGTGAAATTGGGTGGGAGGGCTAACGCATTAGGCCTATGGCCTATAGCTACTGATCAATAGTTCAGATGCAGTAACATCACACTTCGACGGCCTTTCTGGGATGCAAACAGGTTAATCACCAAGTCATTTAAGTCTGATGATTTCTGGATTAATTTAGCCCAACTGGACAGTAAATCAAGGGGGCTTGTCACGACACCTGTCACTCACCATGTGACAACAATGACTGGAAGCTGATTCTAGGAGTATGGGCTGTAAACAAATTCAGCCCATTTAGATAAATCCTACGTTTTTGTGACTATTTTAGTGCTGCTGCTGCTGCTATAGGTTCCACCAAAAACAATCAGTTCTAAGGTTCAATAACTAATATTTTAATTTAATAATTTAATAATTTTCTCATCTTTATTGTAAAAGATAGGCAGGGCTTAGCCCTGCTAGCCCATTTATACTTGCAGTCTCTGCTGGCGTGTGAGCACAGGCCCCACTTGTGGACTTCAGGCCCTCATGCCACCCTCATGGCGTCTGTTTCTGACAGTTTGGGCAGAAACATGCACACGAGTGGCCTGCTGGAGGTCATTTTGTAGGGTTCTGGCAGTGCTCCTCCTGTTCCTCCTTGCACAAAGAAGCAGATAGCGGTCCTGCTGCTGGGTTGATGCTCCCCTACCGCCCCCTCCACCTCTCCTGGTGTACTGGCCTGTCTCCTGGTATCTCCTACATGCTCTTGACACGGTGCTGGGAGACACAGCAAACCCTCTGACCACTGTGCATATGGATGTGCCATCCTGGAGTAGCGGCACTACCTGAGCAACTTCTGTGGGCTGCAGATACTGCCTCATGGTACAACTAGTGGTGAGGGCACTGGAAAAATGCAAAACTAGCCAAGAATCAACCAGAAAGGATGCAGAGTGGGAAATGGTCTGTGGCCACCACCTGCCAAACCATTCCTAAATAGGGGTTGTCTTGGTAATTGCCTCTCCTTTCCACCTGTTGTCTGTCCAATTTGCACAACAGCAGGTGAAACTGATTCACAATCATTATTGGTTCCTAACTGGACATGTTGATATCCCAGTTTGACTTTTAAGTTACACTGATGTGTTCTTTATTTTGTTTTTGAGTAGCCTAGTGTATTATTAAAGATTTAACTACCCAGTATAAAAAGCCTTTCAACATAGTGATTACTTGTATGCCCTCTTCCACATGATCACACAAAATGTGCTGTTTGAATGACGAGGTCCGCACCATTACCATCTTGGCATACACCTGCAGTACACGGAGCAGGTGGAGTCTACACACCATTTGAAGGGAATTGTCAAATACACTGGATCTGCCGTTAATTTTACCAGAGCAGCATATGCGGCACCATGACCACATGGCTCATAAACAAATCAAGGGAAACACTGACCTTTGTTTTGAGCTGACAATTGACGTGGTTACTGCCGGTGGCCGACATTACACTCCATTAGTACATGTTAAGCAATGCACCGGCGCACTGAAATGGAGCGGCCCCACAACTTGCGTTTTTGATAGGTATTTTGGGAGGCTTTAATGTCTGAACAGAATCAGATAAGATGGAGGGCTTTGTTTTATTATCATCAGGCCTATTCTTACTTTAATATACACATTTATATTCTGAGATTCAGAGTTATTAATATTTGGGGCTGAAGCCTCGGACACCCAAGCCTACCAACGCCACTGCAAAACAGAATTTTTTAGTTGAGTTACCACCTGAAATGTAAATCCAATATTGACTCTTGAAGCATGTTGGCACCTACAATGAGGGTGAATGAGTTGATGAGTGATGTGTTGCAGTTAGAGTAGATTTTCATTCATTAACAAGGTGACTTCAAAAAGTCTGATCTCTCATATTTAGTGATTGTTGGTTTTGGCTTTTACTTTGTGACAGTTTACTTATGCATATATTGTTAAAGAGCCACACTAGAAGAATGTTGAAACATGTTAAGTCACCCTGTTGACATACAGCAACCTGAAATATTTTTAGTCTGGGCCTGTGATGCATTTGTGCATCAGCCCGTTAAATGCTCTGACTCCACCTGCTGGTGAAAATGAAGACCTGCTGACAGATGTAGATTTCAGAGGCGACACAGCAAAAGGCAATGTCTTAAGTATTTGACAAAAACAAAGAAATTCAGTTTACAATCAAAGACTAAGCATTAACTCCACATTTAAGATGCTGGAACCCGTATATTTCTAGAGTTAAAATAAAGATTCACTGAAGATATCCAAGGATAAAGTTATTTTATTGTAATTTGACTGGTCAATAAGGCTCAGTTAAAAGCAGTCTTCAAAGAACCCCCATTGTTGCAGTGCCTGAAACACTATAGATTTGAAAAATCTGCATTTGAAAGCGGTTAATTTAAAAAAAAAAAAAAAAAAAAAAAGTGATCACAGCTTACCCACTTAAATCCATTTGAGGAGAGACTCCTTGGGCAAAAGTTGGGTAACTACTGTAGCGTGGCTGCTTGGGAAGGTAGAGGGGCTGTTGGGACCACTTGGGTTGGTAGCTAGGCACCTGCGGTCGCCGCTGAGGCTGCTTGGGCGGGTAGCTAGGCACCTGGGGCATCTGCGGCTCCTGCTTGGGTGGATAGCCAGGCACCTGGGGCATCTGCGGCCGCTGCTGAGGCTGCTTGGACATGTAGCCAGGCACCTGGGGCATCTGCTGCTGAGGCGCGTGGCTAGGCAGTTGCTGGGGCATCTGCGGCTGCTGGAGTTGATATCCAGACTCTGCTACCTGTGGCTGCTGCTGAAGCTGCTTGGGTGGGTAGCTAGGCACCTGGGGCATATGTGGCTGCTGAAGTACCTGGGGCGGGTAACTGGGCTGCTGGGGTGTCTGTGGCTGCTGATACTCAGACTCTGCTACCTGTGGCTGTTGAGGATAACTGGATGGAGGACATGATTTCTAGTACACATTGGTAGTTTGCTTGCTGGGATTCAGCAAGCAGTGTAGCGTGTAACTGAGAAATAGTTCTATGTTGCAGCTACTTGCCTTATTTGCATTTTAGGTTGAACCATCACCAACCTTAAGTGCTCCATGAAGATCCGTCTCCAGTGTTAAAGCCATTTGAGTCTAGTCGATAGCCTCCAACTGGCACTTCAGTAGGCCATCTCCATGCTTTCCAGCAGATCCAGTACTGTAAGCTGTAGAGCAAATATTTCAGTCCATGCATATGACCAGTTAAGTAGTTCCACAATGTGACTAAACTCACCTTTTGTTTGATGTCTTCCAACAGCTAACAAGGACAACAGCAAACATCAACACAAGACATCCCAGAAAACACAAAACACAGTTGAAACTTACCTGAAGAGAAACCTCATGGCTACAGCCACAGTTGTAGGTCAGTGAGGCAGCAGACTGAATCACTTCAGTCAGCTCCTACCAAACCACACAACTGAACCAGTCTGAAAACAAGAAGTAACTGGAGAAACACTGGAACTCTTTTTGAGCTCACTCACCTTGCCTTGTTGATTAAGTGGACACAGGTGTGAGTTGTTGAAGGCAGGTGTGGCTCATTATCTGACAGGAGATGTCTGCTGCATCATGGGAAATAGAAGAGGCTGGTTCACAGGCTTTTAGCATTTCATTGCATGAACATGATTGAAAAAGATCTTTGAGGTGTCCTGAGACAGTACAAGTTTCTGCTCAACTTCAACATTTGTGTTATTTCAACTATATTTATTGTACCAGACTTCAAATATTTGGTTCAGTAAATATCCAGAAGAGGGCAAAATGAACTCAGATCATCAAACTTCATCTACAGTAAAGTTTCTGCTTGACCAGATAAGTGTCTCATATTGTATCAATTAGAAATTTAAGTCAGACTGACAATGACTTTAATTTCATGGTTACATTCGGTAGATATTTAATAGGCTATTTCAAACAGAGGAAGGGTGAACATAATGCAGACCAATAATAGGCTAATTTCATAAAAGCATGTTTTTGAAAGTAAAAATTTATTTAAAATGATCGTCCTACATACAATTATAAATTTTGGAATAGCTATTCATTTCAAAAACGTAACATTTGTCCAACACGTTTCATTAAATACCGGTATACATAGTTTTTTTAATCGCTACAGGTCAGAAGAGCTACATTTCCCTTCAGCAACCACGTTACGCAATGCTTACACTACTTCCTATAAGGAAATGTCAAAATAAGAGCATTTTCAAATGTTGTCCGTCATCGCCGCTTTGAGATCGCTATAAACCCGAAACTCCGACTTTTATTTTGAAATCGGGGTCATTCCTCCGTGTTTCGTCGATCCCTGGCGGAGCCACCGATCGCCTGGAACCGGAGGAGTGTATTCCTGTATGAACGGTCAGCTTTAGGCAGGTAGCCTACAAGTCCGCCGCGATGAGGCTCCGTTTGGCCGGAGCCGTGCTGCTGTCGGCGGCCGCCTACTACGTCTACCTGCCGTTACCGAGCGGCGTGAGCGAGCCGTGGAAGCTGATGCTGCTGGACGCGCTGTTCCGGAGCTTCATGCAGGCGGTGAGAGCTGGAGGATGCAGTGACAGGAGAGCAGAGGAGGACAGGTTGATGTGAGACGACAGAGAGCTGTCGGGGTTAGATAAGAAGAGAAAATAACAGGAAAAACAGAGTATTCTGAAATGACAGTCAAAGAGAGTTTCATTACATTACAATACATTACGAGCATCACTTAAATGTGACAGAGGTTTAGATCAAAGGTGACATATAAGTAGGCTAATGCATAGTAATTGTAAACTCAGTGTACAAAATAAAGGAGAGTATGCTGTGCTGCACCATATTACAATAGATTAGAATAGATTTGGACTTGAGTAGGAAATCTTGTACGGTCTTTTGTCAAACATACGGCCCGTGGGCCAGAACCGGCCACCACAGGGTCCAGTCTGGCCCACTGGATGACTTTGCACACTTAATATTGATGCACTTGTGAAGGCAGAGAGTCGCCAGGTTTCAGGAGCAGGTTAAACAGCAAGTAGCCGACTTCATGTAAAATGCTGCTTTAGGGGCTGTTCACCCAACCACAATACAGTTCTCTGAAAAACAATGACTACTTATTGTGGTCATATATAGCAGGGATGCCAAAATAAGTGTGATGTGTTTTGGTCAAAAGTGTAGCTGCTGAATCTTGAATGATTTGGAGCTGGTGTATACTGTAGCTCGATTTTTTTGGGCGGACGAACAAATCATTACAGTAATCAAAGCGGGATGATATAAGAGCATGTATGACTTTCTCTGTGTTATTGAAGGCCAGAAGTGACCCACAATTGGAGATATTCCTCAGCTGGTAAAAACAAGACTGGACTACGTTCTTTACATGTTGCTCCAGGGTCAAATTACTGTCCAGAGTGAGGGAGTTGACCAGTGGCTGAATTTGCTCTGAGATATGTTCAGGGCCAATGATACCCGCCCACTGTTTCAGTCTCTCTATAAGAATGGAATGGACAGCACTGTCAGATGTTTTACTGGTCCATCCCCTTGGGATTAAATTGAGCTGAACGTTGCCCATGAACTAAAATGAGTCTGACACCCCTGGTCTATACCTTACATTAGAGGACAGTAGAATAGGATAAAAGAATTATATACTGTACCATACTTTTATATAGTAAATTAGAATAGAATCAAACAGAATAGACTTGAGTACATAACTATATACCACATCATACTGTAGATAAGAATACTAGAGTGCAATATATATGTATATACCATAGTAGATGAGAGTTGAACAGAATCAAATATCAGCCCATTGTACCATGCTACATTAAAGTGGATTAGAATAGAACATATTGTGCTTGGAATGTAAGATTGCAGTATTATAATAATTGGATAATAAAGTAATAATAATGATAATAATAATAATAATGTATACAATAATACATTATTATTACTTTATTATCCAGTTATTATAAAGTAATAACAACAATAATAATAATAATAATAATAATAATGTATACATTAATTTCCAGCCCAGTTGTACTGTGTCAGATGAATGTATCACCAAATTTGGTGATTTTTAATTTTTGAAATTAATTGAACGATTCAGTTCTTTTCAGGGTCAAGAAAATTCTCCCATATCTAAAGCTGATTAGTTTCTGAACATATAATGTGTAATGTAATGTAATGTGTATAATGTAACCCTGCTGCTGAATGCTGTAACTCCTGTGTAACATGTTAGTCTTATCTTAAGCTGCTGTTGCAATGTTAATGGCACACACCCGAACCCTATAATCTCATGTGGTGCAACAAGTTTAAAGTTAACACACACATGCAATGCACAGGACAGGTTTCCACGCCCTGCTAATTCTTTCCCTGCAGCACTGCTGGGTACATTTCTTTTCCACCTTACTCTAATGTTTTTGAATCCACACAATGGAGGGGAGAGGCTCCAGAGAGAGCAAGTAGATATTCTTAAACATTTCCTGAAGTTGCTTTGACACCTAAAGACTTTGTTTCTGTCAGTGAAGTTTTGATTTCATCGTCTTTCCTTCCCAAGGAATCAAAACTGTGTTTGCTCAGGTAGAGAAAACTCCCTCTTTCTGTTAAATAACTGCCACCTTTGTTTGTATTGCAGAGTGACGTGGCTCACGCTCTGGGTGTGTGCCATCGGGTCCACCTGTTGAACCGGGTGGTGTCATGGGTGGAGGAGATTGAGGCACACTCCTGCCCTGCTGTGCATGTGACCGACTCCTCACTGGGAGGTGTGCCCACTCGAGTCTTCCAGCCAAAGGGGGGGAAGCAGCTGAAAAGGGGAGTCATATATTTCCACGGTGGAGGATGGGCGCTGGGCAGTGGACGTGAGTGCTGATTTTCAAGCTCTTTTTTTTTTTTTTTTTTTTTTTTAAGCTGCAGAAAATTTAATTCATTTCATTTATTTTATTCTCACCTACAGTTGGATTAAAACATTTCTCTTTTTTAAAAATTTCTATTATTGTTTACATGTTATCAGCATCACTTACTGACTCCACCTGCTTCACAGGGATGAGATCTTATGACCTTCTTTGTCGGAAAATGGCGAAGGACCTGGACTCTGTCATCATGTCTGTCGAGTAAGTCTCATTAAAGCAAAGTTAATGTTGATTAGTTGTTGATATTTTGCTGATTGCTAAAAAACTCCAAATTAGACAATGAGTCATTACTTTCTCCTTTTCTTTTACTAGTTACATTTTCACTGGTGGCTTTTATTAATCAACTACAATCTTATATTCATTTCTGATTTCTAAAAGCCAATATTGACATTTATCAGTTAGAGGTGACTCATCATTTTCAAATTTTGTTTTAATAAAGTTGGGAATTAGTGTTGACAAAACAAGAGGAAAGGAAAGGTCTGTAATAACTACTAAGTGGACTGTTTAACAGACAAATATCTGAATTTAAAATGAAAAAGATATGTATATTTTTTGTAAATAACTTAAATGTACAATTAGGGCCATTCTAAGGTGGAAAATAATAAAACAAATATTTTTTGAAAAGTCGTTGTAAGGAGGTATTATTCCAAGATTTCCAGAATTTCTAAAACTTCTGAGGAAACAATTCGGATATTCTCTGAGATTAAAATGGTAAATATATGAGAAAAAGAAAATTGCAAGGAAAAACTCGAACATTGTCCAAGATTAAATGCGGCAAATTAATGAGAAAAACTCACAAATTTACAAGAATAAAACTTCAATGTTCTTTGAGATTTAAATGGAAGATTTACGAGAAAAAAAATAATCAAATATTCTCTGAGATTAAAAATGTAGATTTGTGAGAAAAAAAACTCACCAGTTTACAAGAAAAAAACCTGAATATTGACAAAGATTAAAGTGGTAAATTTACAAGAAAACCTTAAATATTCTCTGAGATTTAAATGGTAAATTAATGAGAATAAAACTCACAAATTAATTCTGTAAGATTAAAGTGGTCTGTTTACACAAAGACAATTGCAAATTTACATGAAAAAAAAAACTAAAATATTCTCTGAGATTAAATAAGTAAATTTACAAGAAAAATATGTATAAGTTTGCCAGGAAAAGAGTCCAAAGTGTAGCGATGTAGTTCCTAGACAAAGGGAAAAAAACAAAAACACATTTTTTTGCAACCGTCTCCAAACACACACAACTGCAGACACAAGATTTTGATTGTAAATTTGTGATTTAAAATTCTCAGAGAATATTCAAGTTTTTTCTTGTAAATGTTCTAATTTTCCAGCTCCAGAATTTTATTCTCTTTATTTATTTATTTTTTTATTTTTTTTTTATTTTTATTATTTATTGCCAGCTACAATGACCCTAAAACCCTATAATATTAATGGGGTCTGTCAGTCAAGCTTAACTTTTTATCACTTCGTTCGGGGACATAAAACATAGAAGAAAATCAATTTAAACCAAAAAGTTTCTCAGTGAAACAACATTTTGAACCTTTCTCATTAGTGGTTCTGTGTCATTTAAACTGGTAGACTGAAGCGCCAACACAACCCTGGCTTTTAGTCATGTTTCAAAGTATTATGTAACATAATAATGTTGTCTTCCTGTAATATCCTGTTGCTATAGTTACCGTCTTGCTCCAGAGGCGGTGTTCCCAGATCAGTACCATGATGCGTTGGCAGCAGCGCGGGCTTTCCTGTCAGCTCAGGTTTTAGAGCACTACAGCATCGATCCGGAGAGAGTGTGTGTATCTGGGGACAGCGCCGGGGGAAACCTGGCTGCTGCTGTGGCACAGGAGGTAGAGCAGCAAACACACACATAACACACACATCTCACAACATATTACATATTAGCAGCTTCATCTAGACGTATTCAGTTCTAGTTTGTAGGCACAGTATCCACATCTGGTCTCCACTGATAGTCTGAGACAACAGAAACATCAAACTGCTCTCACCCTGGTTCCTTTGGGACTTCCTTCACCCTGTAAACATACAACAGATCAGTTAGTCTTTTGAATTGTTTATTCATTATTCATGAGCTTGTGGTAGAGATCCCTTAGGTAAAATACAGCAATAACCAGATGAAGACAAATAACATGTTTGGTATAACAGCTGTTCAGCCTGCTCAAAGTGTGGCTTAGTTCATTTGACATTTTACACCCTGACAACATGACAGTTAGGGGTGAAACACTCGATGAATGGATGAAGGAAGTTGAAAGGTACTGTGTGATTAACTGTAAACATTTTTTTACTTTGCTACCCTCCCTTGTCAATCTAAGGGACACAGAGATGAATAGCACCAATTGGTGTCAGAACCAAAGGAGTGTAAGTGACATTTTGGATGAAAACAAGTTATATATATCAAATGAAAGCTCCTGATGAACTTTTTCTACTGCCAAAATTCTACTTGTGAATTCTAATCCAATTTAGAGTTATTTATAAAATACCAAAGGACAAAGGTTTTGGCACCAAAAAGAGCCAATGAGCACTTACTCACCTAAAAAAAATTCAAAGTTTTTTTGTTTTGACTGTCCTATAAAGTTGGTCAAATGTTAATTACATCCCTCTGGTTCTCAACCTCAAAACATACATCATCAGAATAAGTTAAATGATGCTGTTATCAATGGCTTTATATTGTATACAATAAATTTCAACCAAGACGTATCAGAATTCAGCTCTTTCAGCGTAAAAAGTTGATATTGGCCCTCAGAAACTTGTATCAGCTGAGTTGTGCTCTAAAGCCTGACTGTGTCCACAGCTCAGCTCAGATGACAGTCTGACACCGAAGTTCAAGCTCCAGGCACTGATCTACCCCGTGCTGCAGGCTCTCGACTTCTACACCCCATCCTACCAGCAGAACCGGGCCGTGCCCATCCTCTACAGGCCTGTCATGGCTCGTTTCTGGCTGCAGTACCTGGGCGCCGACACCTCCCTGGAGCCCCTCCTGCTTGCTAACAACCACAGCTCCCTGGACCAGACGGCCATCAGCGCCAGCATCCGCTCCAAGCTGGACTGGACTGCTTTGCTCCCGGCTGAGCGCAGGAAGAACTTCACGCCGGTTGTGAAAGAGACGGGATCGCCAGGGGTGATGGGTGAGGTACCTGAGCTGGTGGACGTGAGGGCGGCACCACTGCTAGCAGAGCAGGGAGTTCTGAGAAGGACACCTAAAGCATACGTGATGACCTGTGAATTTGACGTGCTAAGGGATGATGGGTTGATGTATGTCAGGCGCCTGCAGAACGCCGGCGTCACAGTGACCAGTGATCACTATGAGGATGGCTTTCATGGCTGCATGGTGTTTGCATTCCTGCCAATGATGTCTAGTGTTGGACAGAGGAGCATGAACAACTACATCCATTGGCTGGACCAGAATCTGTAGACAAACAAACCGCTCCAGATCATCCTGAACCGGGAGAGATTGTTTGCAGCGCCAAAGACGTCCTGGAGCAAAAAGTCAGGTACTTGAGGTCCTTGCTGGATCTGCAAAGAGGGAACATGGCTTTGATTAACACACATGATCCATTTTTGAACTAATGTATCCTTCAGCAGCAACATGTCCTGAGCAAAACACCAGACAAGAAATCAGATGCATAATCTGCACAATCTTTCAAATTTAAAAACATGGAAACAGAACCAACAAATTGAATTCAAGGCTTGTGATAACCTGCTGTTTACCAACGTGTTTGAGTAGACAAGCGGCTGCAATGCATTCACATACTCACCTGTGTACCTGTCCAACTGTAGGATACAAATTTATATCCACTAGTGGGCAAATCAGGGCCAAATCATCTGTAGCCCACACCAGAAAATCCTCCTTGAGAACTTCTGCCACAATGTCCATACAAACACATTTTTAAAGCAGGTTTATGGGCTCAGTGTAGCTGAACATCACTGAGTCAAATGGATCACAAAGCATCTTCACTAAATCCTGAAACCAAAATATTTCCAATCAGAAGTAACCAAAGAAACTGACGCTTAAGACCATAATATCAATGCAACCTTGTGGACAGTGATAATATACTTAAGGCTCATTATTTTCAAGAAAAAAAAAAAACACAATCTAGGATCTATGTCTTTGACTGCAGGATAAAACTGTATTAAAACACTAGACAAACATATAAAACAACATACAAGTATCACTCATTTATAATCCATGGTGTTCTCCAGCAATAGTATTGCTAATTGTATCAGTGATTAAAAATTTGTGGGGAAAAAAACACGCTAAAGGTTCATTATCCCTTAATTAAGATTGTAAAGAGGGTTCAATACCAAATAAATAATTGTGCAAAATGTTTCACAAGTATGCTAGAGTGCCAATTGTTTCAAAATTATGTAAACATTTTAAAATCGTGTATCATCACACACGTCAGGAGACATTTCACAGATTACCCTCAAATCATAAAACGAACACCTACATTTTTCTAAATTAGAAAATAATATTAGAAATCAGATTTTTTTTCAATGGCCATTGTATAATATAATGATATTCATTTGGAATATAATTAACAGGTAAAATTTATATTTCAAGCAACATTATGCAGTTTTTTTAAACCTTAAAATAAAAGCTTCAAAATCATGTTGATGGGACACTCCCACTGATTGCCTATTCTTGCAATATGTAAATTTGGTGACCAAGATTTAGAGCTTAACACTTTACAGTGTTTCCCATTCATTGATTCATTTTTTGTAGCCACTGAAAAAGCAACATTGACTGCCACATGATGGGTTTCCTTTTTTTACTATTTAAAATGGGTAAATTCTTATTTCTGCTCTTGGTTTCTTTTGAGAGAGGAGGCAAAAATCAGCTAGGTAGCCGCCACCCCACGGTCCCTCAGCCTTGCTCCCCGCCGCTAGGAGACTACTTCACCAGTGATTCACAGCTTTGGAGATGAACCTCCAGTGAGTGGCTGTAGCAACTAGAGTTGTTCCCATATCAATAACAGTACTAGAAATGCCTCTGATACAGTTTAAAATGCTAGATCAGATATCAGCCACTCCAGGACTCTATGCACTGATCTGATACCATGGAATTTATTTATAAACTTAAAAGTAGTTTCCTGGAAACCAATTCTTCTTCGCCACTTTTAAACAGTAGCCGACACAGCAAGTTGTGTTGCACAGCCACTGCCAACAGCTTTCTTTTTTTTTTATACGTTTGTTTGTATATCCCTTTGTATCATTCTCTGTCCCCTCTCAAAATTTGGAGGTTTTTGTTGGTTTATGAACGCAGCACAAGCGACACTTAGTTATTTTTTATCTCAGCAGCAGTTTGTGGAGTTTTCAGTTGCAGGGTGGATAATTGATAAGTCAATCTGATCAGTGCTGATCAAATCAAATCGATTGATGAGAACCTCTAGACCCAGTGCAATGAATGGTTAAGTTTCACCTTCACTGCACCTGGCATTCTGCTGCTCCCTCTGTGCCCAGAGTAGCGCTCAGAGCACTCCTAATGAACGGGCCGGCTAAAAAATAAAAAATCAATACATAGTGTTAGATGTTATCGTGATGTGCTGCTACAAATAAATGAATGTGTGGAAAACCCTGCAAGTTTAGGTATCAGAACATCTCCAGTAGCAACTCGAATTCAGCCAGTGCAAACCACAACCCTGGAGGTCACAGCAGGCTGGTGGTCAGCAGCAACACTGTGTCTAACTTGTATAGCAGCAGTTTGCTAATCTTGCGAGGAGTCAGGGCTGTCCGGGATCAGAAGCGCTGTGTTAGCGCTAGCTGAATTCAGGTTGCTACTGAGGGTCCATATTTACAACATTGGTGCAGATTCTGAAACTGTCAGGCTGCCAAATCCCAAAAATACCCAATTATGCATTATGTTGCACTAAAACATCAATAATACAAAAGCGCAAGGTTAAAATTTGATTTCAGGATTACCAGTCGCAGCTCAACACCATGTTGTCTATCCAGGTAATGTTAATTCATTACTAGAGATAATTCCCGGCTCATTTCTCTGTTTTTTGGATACAAAATTAGGGAATAAATTTGGAAATAGATTTGGATTAAAACATATGTAAAAAAAAAAACAAACAAAAAAAAAAAAAAACAACCAATCTGCTCCTTTAAAAAAAAACCTGCAGTATCTTGAAAATGAAGAGCCTTGAATATTCTGCCTAATGAGCTCCTAATCTGATTAGTTTTAGAGGTCAAAGTCACTCAGTTTATCTTCAGCTTTTATTCTTTTATAATGCACTGAGGCACTGAAACAGTCTGCTCACACACACTTAACAGGCCAGTCAAGGTTACAGTGTGTGTGCGTGTATGTGTGTGTGTGTGTGTGTGTGTGTGTGTGTGTGTGTGTGTGTGTGGTAGAAGTGTGCCAGAGTTCACAGCTGTGTATACTCACTGGATTGTGCAATATTGTATGTTTGAAAGTCGCTCTCTGTAACTTCACTCTCTGATGACCACTGTACTGCAGAGCCAATGCAATGATGATGATGATAATAGCTGTGAAATGTATGCAAGAATTACTGTATCACCACGAGAGACGAGATCCCAAATGGACTATCATGTTTCTCTCCCGCCCTCCGCTGCTTGCCCAAAACTAATATAAAGACCCGACGACTGCAAGCGTCAGACAGATTCGGTTTTGGCTTTTGGCCCAAACGACAGCGAGCCAAGAGTTTAGCAGAAACACTGAGCTGAGTGTGGTCATTACTTCACATTATCCAGAAAGAAAAAATGTTGAAATTGTAACACTGGCTATCAGGAGATTTTCTTCTTTTCTTAAAGGGAAATTATTCTAGACAGTTTGTTCCTAACATGGATTTCTGCGAGCAATTACCCTCCATACATACATGCAATGCTGAAATGTAACTAAGTACATTTACTCAAGCCCTCAACTTGAGGTACTGTACTTGAGTCTTTCCATTTATACTTCTACTCCTCTACATCTCAGAGGTAATATTGTATTTTTCACTGCACTAAATTTTGTCTGACAGCATTAGTTACTTTTCAGATTTGCATCCCCTTCCTGCCCAGTGAAAACCATGTATTTCCAGGTGTGTTGATATTAAATGTTGAGAAAATTCTCCTCCTTCTTAAGCTAAATAAACTCTTTAAAACCCTCCTGGATCAGTTGGAAAATGCATCGTCACACAGCTGAAAACAGGGCTGTTTTTCTGACCCCATGAAAAGTTGACTTTTTAGAGATACATGATTCTCACAGGACAGCCACGCCACAAACATATGATGATCCTATAGAATATGAGTATTACTGTAGATTAAACTACCCAACAGTATATAAAGGAGTTAAAATGAGCTCAACATCTACAGTAGTAAAATGACACATACACATGAATGCAGCAGGAATATTAACCCAGAAACATGAGAATAGGGGAACATTTTACTGCACCATCGATACTTTATTTTGTCTCAGTGACTAACGACATAAACATGAGCAGCATGTTTGCACTGACAGGCTCAGATTATTAATCTTAGTGTCTGACAACATTATGGAAAGGATTGAACCAGTCTCAAAGTCACTAAAATCCCCAAAACACCAGACTCCATTTAAATGAAGAGGAATTTTATCATTGGATAGCACAGTGGTTCCCAACTGGTGGGTCACTGGTCCATTCTGAATGGACTGCAAGTGACTTGTCTAGTTGGTAAAAAACAGACTTTATTTTTTACGTGCAGTAAATTTCCAACACAGAGCTTTTATTTTGAAGTGCTGTTTCCTGCCGTAGAGTGTGAGACTAATGAACAGCTACTTGATCGAGACAGCAGAATAACTCGATGACATGGCCAAATGCAAGTGTGACACTGAATTTATTAAACTGTGTGGACCTTGAACTAATGATTAAAGAGAAATCTGGCCCCTGTGGCTTGACCAGTTGGGAATCACCTGTATAGCACATTTCATTCAAAGTCAACAGAAAGAAAATAAAGCTCACAAAAGCTGATTTGTTTAATTGCTCCTCTATTCAAACAATCACCAATTCTGGTTTCCTTGAAATAAACCCCTAATTCATGCAGTTAGATGTGAAAATGTTCTGCATTTATTCACGCTTTTTTAACAGAATCTGGTGAGTTTGGCAATGGCGTTTGCAGGGCTGTTTCTGGTCAAACTTAAAGGATCCTACTCTTTAAAAATAATTGTCTATCTCTGTAGGGATCGTCTCCATATTGTTGTCAGACACTTATGATAATAATCTGAGCCTGTCAGTGGCAAAAACATACACTTTAAGGTGATGTACATTGAGGATGCACAAATGCCCCAAGTGGATACACTGCAGCTTTTTTTCGCCGCTGCTGGCTGCAGCCCTCTTGCTCAGTATTGGACCAGTTTAAAAAAGTGTTGTCCCCATTAGTCACTTAAACACAAAAATATGGGAAAATAGGGTCCATGTTGGAAAAAAAATTAAAGTTTTCCTTTAAGTTAGGTTTTAAATGCAGGACTTTTACTTGTAGAGGAGGAGTTTCACCAAAGTCAAGGATCTGAATACTATCACCACTGAATGTATAAGCACAGGTTTTGTACACCTATCAGTAAAAAGTGACTATGTTTGATATCCGTGTGAAGTGAAATATATCATTTATAAATAAGTAATATGAGTTTTAAAATTAGCTAAAGCGATGTGGATTATCGAGAAGGACTTTTGAATGTTTTGTAAGTGCTGTAATTTTATTGCTGTATGTGAAATGACACATTAAATAGTTTAATACTCTACAAATAATGTTTTTTATATAAGTTGGGGTTATGCAACAGGTTCTTTCAGCCAAGAGATACACAAAAGCAGCCCCAGATGTACTCCTGCAGCGCTAATAAATCCCTTGAAATAGCTGTTTTATTGGCTTCTGTGACAACTTTAGTGGTGTGGGGGGACCAGGGATCATTATATTTTTTTATGCGTCTTTTTTAAATAATGTAATAATGCACATGTATTAGTGTGAGAAAGTATTACATTCCTGGACAGTGTTTTTACTGTGTCAACAGGGACAAGAAGTGCTGCAGGAGATGTGCAGCAGCACCTGTAGAGGGCAAGCTCTGGTCGCCATTATTGGAGGTCCTCAGCTTTAATCGAGTATTTGGCATAGGACTTAAATCTTAGAGCAAGAATGATTGTTTTGTCTGCAGCATATGTATATGTGTATAGTAAACATCTGTCCAAATGACTCAGAAAGACAAAAGCTGATAGTGTGAATATTTGTAAAAACATGCAGTCAAATATCTAAACATCATATTTGTTTCTACAAATGGAATCACGTTTTCTTCTCCTAGTGCCTCCAGAAAACAAAGGCACGTGTGAAACTATCAGACAAAGCACTGAAATGATTATTCATCAAGTCTATCAATTAATCATCAATGTTTGAGTCACTTTTCAAGAAACATGCAAAAGAATTGTCCACTTTTCTCTGTTTTAAAATCATTGTAAACAGAATATTTTGGGGTTTTCTGACATTTTACAGACTGTGCTCATCGAGACTAATTGAGAAAACAATCAGGACAGTTTTCAATAATGGAATAATGAACACAATCTCTCCATTAGATCCATATAGCAGCTGTTTTGGAGCTACAAACCGATCACATGATCTTCGTCATCTAACAGATCTGTAGATGTTAAAATTTCCATTTATATTTCAGATTGTGACACACATTCACATTATAATTTTCAGATGTTAGACATGACAGGTGAAAACACACCATTTCACACATGAACATGAATATTTATGTGTGATCTATTTTTTATCAGGTGATGAATTTGTAATTTTTGGACATTTACATTTAAAATATAACATAAACTTCATTTTGAAGCTAATTTTTAAAGTCAGCAAACTCCAAGTGAAGTAAATAAAACTAAAATGCTTGATTTTGCCCATTATACATATCATATAATAAGACCGAGATGTTATGCAAATAATAAATATTTTCCTAAAATTATATTGTTTTGTCAGCGTAAACTTTCCAGTCTGCAGTTCAGTTTTGTGTTGTTTGTTTGCTGCTGCAGAGGGCGAGCATGTTAACTTCCTGTTGGAGTGGTTGTGTTTATTATGTAACGCGCGACCTGATGTAAAGGAAACTTTACTTGGTGCACAAGCCAACCTGCAAAATGGCACCAGATGTGTTGGGTAGTGTGAACTTGTAATCACAGCTATAATAACTTTGCTATAATTATTAATTGATAACTGATGTAACAGGGTTTAAATCCTTCCAGAGGGTCAGCTACTGTATCTGTACACAATGTAAAATGTTCACAATTTACTATTTTGGGATTTATTTATGAATAAAATATTACAATGACACATTTAAAGGTTTTTTTGTGTCCATGTTCTGTGTTGACTCAACATTTACAAATGTTTTTTTTTTTTTTAAGGAAATAAACTGAAGTTAATATACAATAATAAACAGTCTGTAAATGTATTTTGTGAAAAATAATAAACAATTAAGTTATGGTTATTAGTTATACTTACAAGTTATTTGTATGTCAGATGCTGAATAAGCCCTTTTGAAAAAATGATTTTGAATTATAGTTCATGATGTTATTAATGGCTTTCACACTATATATTAGTAACAACATGCATTAGGAAATATAGTGTCTCCATTAAAAATATATTTTGTGTTCATTAAGTTGTAATATTTTAACTTTTTGTTATAACAAGTATTACAAATATTAATTCATTATAGTTTATTAAATTGTTTTAGTTTATATATTATGTATTATAATAATTAGTTATTATAGGTGTTAAAATTTTAAAAGTTATTCATTATTCCATTATAGTTTACTATGTTATGATCCATTGGTATTACATTTATTATATATTTTTTTTAATTAAAAAACAGTTTGTTAGTTACCAAATCATAGTGTAGGTATAAGTTACTGATTATGGTTATCATTATAGGTATTAAAAATACAGTTATCCCTTTAAAATTATACATTTCATTTTTTGAGTTGAAGTTTAAGTGTCAGTTACACCAGATAATTATTACAAATACAGCAAATTCCATTTGGAAACAGTTACTCTTTATTGACTCATAGTCTAGTTAAAAGATATTAATAATGGCTATCACTATTGGCATTAAAATATTAAAAGTTATGTTTT